GAGGCTACTGCACGATACGACAATCCAGCTTCACGAAGGCCGATGATTCTCCCTCGTTCAAACTCTGTAAGTTTGTTCAAATCTCGCTCTCTTTCGTCGACGAGGCATAAGTACAGATTGAGTTAACGTTTACCACTAGCAGATAACCACCGATAACCATACACGCCTCGCTACAGCCGTCTATTTATTCGGATCCATCAGCCGTTCAGAGGGCGCTGCTCAGCATACGCATGCGCTACGGATTTGCAATTCTAATCATTTGCATATCATGCTCTACTTTGCATTTCCTGAAAATTTCAGCTCACTCGCGTAAGTCCTTCATAGTGTTGCAATTTTCACAAACGTGAGTGTATATGTACTAGAACAAATAGGTTTCAAGTGAGTAAAGCTATATCGATATAGCTGTTATTAAAAATAGCCACAACACTGACAGTTCAGTAAATTCCGGAGATATAGTGACTGTAGTGTAAATGTGGAACATGGGCATGGGTGCAGATAAAAAACAGTATGTGGTACACCATATTTTAACATGTTTACTATACCACCATATTTTTACCATCTTTACATAATGGGCTATAGGCCAACTTGCTATGCCTTCCCATCCTAAATACGCCCCCCGTTACAAAATGCAAACTTTGTACGAGTTTACAAAGAACAATATAGTTCTGCTGAGAAGATGAGTAACTGAAGTTTTACAAAGGGTCTAGATCAGGCGTCGGCAATCTTTTTTTCGGCTACGGATCGAAATCAAGCAACGCATGTATGTTAGGAAGACGTTCGGGTCAGTGGTATTCTAATTAACCGATCCCCCAAGGCAAGTTGAAAAGAACATCAAAAATAGCAAATTTTGAAATTAAATATCCCGGTCAATTTCTTGTTGTACGAGAGTCAAACTTTTCGCATTTTTATTTTTTCATGACGAATACTGAACTTCCCCAAACAGAAACTGGGAAACTGCATTAAATGTTAGATTTCGCTATTTTCCGAAAATTAATCAATTTTAAACTTAACATTGCTTTGACAAAACATGAATGTTTTTTTTTTTTTTTTTTTTTTTTTTTTTTTTTTTTTTTTTTTTTTGTAGTTGGAAGTATATGACTATGACCAACGATTAAGGAATTAAAGCCCAGGTAAGGACTTTTAACCGGGTAGGACGTTTGAGTATATATATATATACTTTTAGTGCTATACATTGCAATAAAAAAGCGAGATTCCCAGCTAGATGCTATAGCAGTTCCATCTACAAAATTTCACCGTTCTATGTCATTTTTCAGTTATGCGAGTACGTACATACAAACGTCACGAAAAATTCCATTTTAAATGCACTTTACAATCTTTTTTCGAAAAAAAAACAGCCCTTTATTCTATCCATACTTACCTTTGCACTTTGAACCACTGGAGAGGGCTTCCGACCTAAGGTGTTAGATACCTAACGGAAAACGCCCACCCAATGGAAATAATTTATTGAATAGATACTTTTTACAGAGTTTTTACAATGAATATTTTTGCATGACAGTGATATTTTTACATTACTTTTACGTGACAGTGAAAATATTTACAGTCTTCTTTGCATTTGCATGCTACTGTAGTTCAATGTTTCAGATGATCTTGGTTAGTCTTCGTTGATTGATCAGAGGGTCTTGGTTGATTGATATAAAACATCAGGTATATTTTCAATTTAGATCTTAGGCCGAATATTATAGACTTTTTTATAAATGATTATTGAATTAAGTTAATTTTGATATATACGAAATAAATGATAAAAATAAATAATGAATTCTATTGTTTAATATTAGAATCCTCAAAAAAGAAATTAGTTGATGAAAATAACTGTTGAGATTATTTCTTAAGAATGATATAGTATTCTGTTGTTTTTGAAATTTTATTATATAAAGCAGGATGTTTTAATAAATGTAGGGTCCATTCTTTCTAGTACTGATTTGGAGGTTTATTTAAGTGATGGTCTTTTGTATATTCACATTCAAAAACATAATGGTCGGGACTTCCTATTTTACCACAATTGCAAATGTCAGTATGTCCGTTCTTACCGACATCACGCAAAATATTAGCTAAAATGGATTCGGGTGCAGTTAAAATGTACATTTCCGTTAAAATACGATACCCGAAATTTTTAGCGATTACAATACTTGTTTTACTTTGTACGAGGAAGTAAAAATGACATCGATAATGTAAAATGACTATCGATTTATTTACTAGGAATTTTCTTCTTGATATGATTTTAAAAGAATATGGCACTGAATTAATTACTGGGCCTATATGTGAGAATATTTTACGTGTTAGTTTATAAGCATTCATTAAATCATACTATGTTATGTATCGTTATTATTTTCTGAAATATTTGCTTAATTTAAGAGGATAGAACCCCTAACGTACAATTTCTGCGTTACTTCTTTTCAAATAATCTGCCTTAATTCCCACAATATTTTAACTAATTTTATCGTACGAAACTCGAGACGGTAAAATTATGCAAATAATTTAATTTACGGTGGACGCGACAATAGTAAGAACATTATAAATGAAAAGTAATCACGGATAAACTACAGGAAATTATCACAACATTTTTTCTTTAAAAGAAGTCTGCATTTCAATAAAAACACACAGTAATATTAACAGCCCAATATCTAATAAGATACCTTCCATTCTACTTCCCTGTAACTTGAATCGTTCCTGTTCTTATTGTTTTCTGTGGTACTCCTTGGGCATCAAATCATCTATAAATAGTTAGAGAAGATGAATATGCAGATGACTGGGCGAAATTTATAGACAGAATGTCAGTTCTTGTTTGCTTCGATGTGACTGGGTCGGTTCTCGTGTTATTTTAGTATTAAAGTTCAACAGTTGAAAGGAAAAGGCTCGGCATGACATTCGCAGATAGTTCGCAAGGGTTTGTATTAAACCGAAAACAAGCACTACGTGGGCGAATCCATTTTAAAACTTAAGGCAGCTCGTTCTGTGAATACACTGAGGAAAGGGATATATTATTATTTACGCAATTTATAATTATTTGCTTAAATAATTATTATTTACGCAAATAATTATAAAATTTTCAGACAGTAAAGCTAAAAACCTAGGGAGGAAAACACGCGAGAAAATACGGTATTTAACAAAATTAATTGAATTTACAAATTTCTTTTTTCGTTTAAATTAATTTTGACTATTATATCTTCAGCAATCATTATTGATATTTATTCAACAAAGAATAGCAGAGGGCGAATAATGTTATGATAAAGCTGCAGAGACGTCTTTGGTTTTGACGCAAATAGACCTATGTAAATTAACACTGTATTTAAAGAACGTGAATGTTAAATATTCAAAGAATGCTGGTGTTAAATTTGTAAGTTTGAATTTTACAACAAGTTACATTGATGAAAGAATTGTGACATACTGAATGGTTTTTCCAGTAAACTGGTTTCATGGCACTGGGAATGGGTTAAATTCACGCTGAATTTTCTCCTTGTCTAAAAAGCGACATGCATTTTATAAAGCTTAGAATACTTTACAAAGGCATAATGAGTAAGTGAGTGACGGAGGACGTGGGCACCATCCCTCTACCACATTGGTTAATTGGTATAGAGCCACGTCCACCCTTATCTAAAGCAACCTTGGATGTTAATAAAGTGTGGGCCACACAGGCATCTCGCATCGAGCGCTGAAACCCAGCACCTGGTGAATAACCCTGCCAGCCCACCACCCCAAGCAACCACTAGGAATTTATATAAACATACATAAGTAGAATACATGGCCATACAGGGACCTCATTCGTACATACTTGAGGTTACTTAATTACTTGAGATTGTTACAAAGATAATTCAAGACATTTACATCTTGTTAAACAATAATATAAACAATAATAGTTAACAATGAAAGTTAACAATAATACCTGATACAGTATAAAGTACGTAATCCGGACGTCCATTATCCGGAATGATCTATAATCCGGACCTCAAAGCCACATACTTACGCATGCGCGTAAAGCCAGTAAAGCGTTTACCCATGTGTGCTTCCGATAGTGAACAAAGTGACAGAGAAAACGAAAAAAATTCGATTGACAAGTTAGTCGGTATTCTCGACACAGTAATTACAGGACTTTAACAGTGGAACTTCGTAAGTGAACAAGAAATCATGTCTGTTTATAGAATTAAAGAGAAAGTAATAGCACAAAAAACGTAGCAACTTAAACAACTTTCATTGGAGGAAATGTTTAATAAAGTAAACAAATAAATATTAAGTTTTTTTTTGGTAAATTTTGATACCCTTTAGATCATAATTGCTCTTTATTTCATAAATTACTGTTTCATATTCTTAATTGTATAATTTCTGCATGCCATCTTACCAGATTTAAATTTATGATCTATAATCCGGGAAAACCCCTAATCCGGAATCGCCGAAGTCCCGACGAGTCCGGATTACGGACTTTTTACTGTACATTACCAATACATACTGGATAGTTATACATAACAGATACATAACTAATACATATTAAATATTTTAAGTTTACATCATTAACGCAGTGCCTGCTTTGGATTCGATATTTACTTAGGATTTGAGGAGTTGATATATAATTATTTTCATAATTTTGCAAGTTCTTCGATGTACATATATTTGTCAGGTAAATGTCTGTTTGATAGCCCTTCAGTGGCCGGGCGGTAAAAGTCGCTGAACCCTGATAGTTCGGTCCGGTGTTCAAGTCCCAGCGATTGGGCTGGCTGCATGGGCGTTTTCGTAGTTTTTCCCATTGGTAACATGGATACGAGGCAGTTTCCCTTAAAAGGTACTCTACGTGGCATCCCTCCTTTTTCCTTGTATAAATTTAAAAAAAAGTCTCTTTGATACATCTAGTTAAAGAAGATGTAACAACATCCAACTTAAAAAATGCATGCATCATTTTCAATTTTTTATTTATTTATATATATATATATATATATATATTGAAAAATCGTGAATATGTGACATTTATATGAATATTTTTTTTCTTTTAGTGCGCCATTTGTATCAGTGCCAAAGCAACCATGCAAACATTCCCTTGTGGCCATCGTGTCGTCTGTCGAAAATGCTTCGTTAAGACCATCCAAATGGCCGTGTCGCAACGACTTCTGCCCCTCCGTTGTGTCATATGCCGCGCCAAGATACTCAGACTGAAGCAACTCTCTCCTAGCAACAAGAACAACAACAGCCAACATGATGTATCTCCCAGTGTTGATGGGCCAGCCAATCTAGGGTTACTTCCAACAACATACGCCAATAAGCTTCCAGATGCTAGCAATAGCCAAGCCCTGAGACGCCATGCTCGACGACCCTGTTTCGGCCACCCCTACGCTCTAACTAACGCGTCTTCATTTTCTAGGTCGAATTTTCGGCAGCGTATAGCAGCCAGGTCTCCTCTTCTCTTACCCATCCCTGAAACGGAAGAATTGGAGTTGGTTAATACTGTTCAAGAAAGAGAAGAAGTTTTATGTCCCAATTTTGGCAACGGAGAAGATGACTGGACGGAGAAGGATGACCTGAAAGCCGAACTTAGGGAAAAGAATCCTTTGGCAAAAGTAGACCATTACCAGGTAGTTAAGTGGTTGTCCAAGTTCCGTCGGCTTAAACCACCTTCCATTCTTAAAGGCATACGGAACAAATGGAAAAATAAATAAATGTATTTGTAATTCGTGTCTTTTACCATCATATGCGCTTTGGTTAATCGTACAGAGTTGTATATGAAATTTTCCTTTCATTGGATTAATTGAAGCAGTTACATTAGAAGAGTAAGTCTGAGGATTTGGATGAAAATATATCCTTAGTGCAAATTTCGTCTCATACATCATAAATCATTAAGTCTCATCATACTTAAAAATTAATTCTAAATGCATTTGAAATTTAAAGTAGGCGATGTGGATGTGCCGGTTGGTTTCGTACCAATTGCTTTTTTAGCCGTGAGACAAAAAGTAAATGAAAATCAGTGTCTGACCTATTTATTTTAAATAACAGCGGGATTAATTAACGATTTGAGCTGTCATATATTAAAGCTTAGAATGACAGCGAGATAATTCAATTTTTCTCTAAACGTTTGGGCATCATTTTTTTATGTCTTTTCCATTCTTTATTTCAGTAAAATAATAAAACGTAACATTAAATTTGTAATGAACTGAAAGATTGAATTCATAGTACCATGCGGTTATTTTAAAAAACACAAAAAAAATTTTAATAAGTTATTAATGAGAAAATATCATTGAAATGGAACAGCCACAAACGTATGTATTCATAATGATTATCAGACACTTTCTTTTAACGTTTCTCATTATAAATATTTTCCGTTTAAAGGTGTTGGCAACAAATGAACTATTGGTTTTCGAAACATTTTTTCTACCTTGAAATTGTCCCAAAATTTAATACTACTTTTTATCAAGTTTTTAGTACAATAATGCAATATAGGTGTAATATATGAATCTGTAGCTTTTCAGGTATGAGATTACTAGAAACTTCAGTGTTTAAAATGTAGTTGAAAATATTATTTTTATACATTTTGCAAGGAGATGTAAGAATGCTGTATATTTAACATTTATATCTTTAAATACAAACGATTGTCACATCACGGCTTGCGTAAGAGTATGCAAATTTACTCGGTTACAGATTTTTCTAAAACTTATTAACTGCATTTAATAAATGATAAAAGACCTCTAGTCGTAAGAAAAACTGCAATGAATAATTTTTATACTACATTTGCATTTCTGTAAGTCTCCATTTAATGCAGTAAATTGATTTTTTATGGAAATTTCGAATTTTTCTTTCATCGAATAATTACGTGATAAATAATATTGCTATAAATTAGGTTATGTTTATATTTATGTACATTAAGCAATAAATAATCAATGATAGGATGATAATAACAACTATACTTTGACCGCCTCATCCGCGACCATGAGCGCCAAAGACGCATGCGCCATTCGGACCGAATTATTCTCGAAATAGGGTGGAAGGATGTGGACTTTCTTTACCTCCAGCATAGCTCTTTCCGGAGAAGAGAAGACCTTTCACGCCTCATCAAGTAATACCGCCCCTTTTGGACGAGTCTATGTGTTTTGGCAAATAAAATAACGATACATGCTTTCAGTAAATTAAAATTCTTTTCTAGTTTAAATTAAAGGTTGCGCTTGATACGGTCGAACTATACGAACTATTCGCAGAGAACGTAGAAACTAATGTTTTATTAGGAGTCATTATTTGAACATATACGCTGCAAGCATTTTCAGATATTAAAGCCGCAAATTCTGTATTTCACAATCTTAAGTTATTAAACAAATCTATTTGCATTTTATTATAAGTACTTTAATTAATTTTTAGGAACTTCTCTAATGCTCTGTTTTATTGTGTTTTCTGTCATAAATCTGCACACTTTGCTCCAGAACTGCAGCTGGACGTGAATTGAGATTCGTAACTGCTGCTCTTCTTCTAAAGTATTTCCTAAAAGATAAATTGGTAGCTTAAAAAGTAAATACTTTTAGAATTTAAGGATTTTTAATAACCTAAATAACTATTCAGTTATTGTATTTATTAACTTCGTACGATTATCCAAGGGAGGCTAGGCTTAGATTCTTTCAGAACTTACAAACAAAATAGTTAATGATAAGTGTCTGGGTCATTAAAGTAAAATAAAAATTCACTGTAAAACTCTTTTGGATCATTTTAAAACTTTGTGATTGACTTCGTTTGTTCTGTTCTTTCTTTTAAAATTAACCTGGCTTTAATTGGTATGATACCTGAGTTATTTAACTTATAACCATATAGTTATATAGTACCATCGAAAAGAATGAATCCAATGTTCAAGATTTCATCTTGCATCACTACTTTCAAATCATTGTATCTTTTTTCCCTCTGAAAATTCGTTGAACAAGATAATGTTTTATTTCCATGCTAATATGTCAATACCATTTAAAGGTTGAATTTCTTAAACTTTTATTTCATATAATAGTTTGAAGCAATTTTTTATGTAGTTTGTACAAACGACTGCACTAATTTTATTATCTGCAAAATATTGAATATTAGATCAGGACAAATTCTTTTGGAAACATTTCTTTTCAAAGAAAAAGATAAAATATTTTCAAGGAATATTTTTTCGCATTATATCAACTGAAATGGTTAAAAATATATAGCAAGGTACTTTTAAAAGTACCAGATAGCTATGACGTTGTTAAATATATATTTAAGTATTAATGCCATTGTATTAATAATATCAAAGCTGACCTTTTTTTAAATATAATAATAATCATAATAAACTATTAAACTATGAATGAACATGACTGAATTTTTAATTTTGCGAAGCTGAAAAACCAAGCCTGTTTCACTACCTTCATTTATATTAGGCTATGAGAAAAATCCTTTGAAAAAATGATGTTTAAGGAATCTCCTCAAATTAAATAATAAACACCGAAACGAAGTAAAGGTAACCAATAATAAAAATTACAACTCTTCATATAATAATAAAATTGCTTTTATTTGTGTTTTTTCATTTATGAATTCAAAATGTTTATGATTTCAGTTTATGAAGTTCTAGAGCACTAACGTTTCTAAGACTAGCCTAATGACCAATGGCGAACAAACTTGTATGTATTTCTGAAACGCCAAACGTGAATTTGTGAGGATAGATACTGAGAAAAGCATTTTATTTTCATCTCGAACTATTTAAATTTTTTTAAATAACGATACATGCTTTCAGTAAATTAAAATTCTTTTCTAGTTTAAATTACATGAATCTTGCATAACTTAGAATAAAATAATCAACAACTGTTACTTAAAATTTAATGTTGTTTTTAGAGCCGTTAAAGTAATCTATTGCAATAAAACAAATTGTTTACGCCTGAAATTCTAATATATATATATACGTAAAAAATAATCTGACAGGTTTCAGATTTTAACCGTCAGCTAAAAGGATTCGTTAAGATTGTTATGCTCTCGCTGAGTTCGCAGTCTATTAGATTGCTCTTACACTCACTCCTGCTAACCCATTTGGTTTTGTCTTTTTAACTTTATTACTAACCCTTGTTTTCTTTTTGCACTTATGCCGCATATAGTTCAACAACAAAATTAAAAAAAAAAAAAAAAAAAAAAAAAGGTAGCTCCGGATTTGCGAAGAAGCGAGTTAGAATGCCGATGCAATAACGTGTTGGCAGATATTTTTACATTTTTCCGGGGTCTCATTCATTATTTTATTAATTTATAAGTAAGATGGCTTTTTTTTTTTTTTTTTTTTTTTTTATTACATTTATGTGTAAACTTTATTCATTAAATATCGCGTTCTTCGTTTTCGGTTCAACAGCAAAATCAGAAAATATTTAAAAACAGCACATCTTTAGAAATTCCGATAGAATGTTAGAGATTGCTATACATATTTTTATATTCTCAATATTATTTCTTTAAAAATTAGGTGCTCACACAGCCAGCCGCCTAAAATAGGTATCATAAAAATGAAAAATTTATGATTTTAATGAATCTAGCTGTGTAACTTCATAAAAATACTGAATATTTCTAAATATTTCTAATTAGCTCATGATTTTAATGCATATTTATTTAAATCATTCACATTAAAAAGTATAAAAAAATTCTAAAGAACTGTGTTTATTGCTTTTAAATCGCTTATTTTATTACGCAGTAACCTTCCAGATTAAATTTGAAAACATCTTAGGCTTTAATGAATGAATGGTAACACGCTGGCGGGTGGAAGATAAAAATATTTTATTTCCGGTCCCGGCAACACATTGCTTTCATAGAGCTGAATTTTTAATGAGATTCCTCAAAAAGAGGAAGAAAGACCTTATTTGTTTATATTATTTATACATAAGTCATGTGATTTCTGAGGTCATATATATTGTTTGTTTACATTAGCTGTACACAAGTCACGTGATTTCTGAGGTCATATATATTGTTTGTTTACATTAGCTGTACATAATTCACGTGATCATTGAGGCCATCGGAATATATCTGATCAACGTTGAAAGATTACATTTTTCCTTATGGATTACATTCTTACATTTACGAATGGCAACAGTCTCTCGCACTGGAGATAAAAAATTTTATTTCGAACGCTGTGCCACTGCTCGCTTTCAAATCGTTGAGTTTATTAACGAAACACTCATTAACGTTTTACAAAGTAAAAAATTAATGACAAAACAAATACGAAATTCAAAATTCGGCCTTCCAGGAGCACATGTTCGGGTGAACGACTAAGTTATTCAAAATTTGATGGCTCTAGGTACGATCATTTTTCCACAGCCCGAGGAGCATGCATACATACATAAATACAGATTCTTTATTATTTAACTCCTTTAAAAATTATACGGGACGATAATATTTGGCGGCGGCAATTTGGAAATTAATCCAACGCTAATAGTGATCGACACAAAATCCTGTTTCGAGACTAATAGC